GAGTCACCCCTCTCTGATTTTGGCTCTCAAAATAGCATATTAAGCACTGAAAATCCGTTAGATTTCAGTGGTCAAAAGGCCAAACAAAGATCAATACAAAGGCCTTCATGCATGGCTCAAAACAAGGCAAAATGAAGCATGCAAGGGGGTAGATGACCCCCAACAACAAAGTGACCTTAAACAAACATGAAAGGACCTCAAAAAAAGACTTTTTTTAGTTTACACCAAAGCTCTAATATGCTTGCAAATATGGCTAAAAGATGGAGCAAAATAAAGCTTAAAAGAGAGAATAGTGTGTTACCCTTGTAGCTTTAGCAAAACCAGTAGCTTCTTGGACCAAAACCCAGCTCTTTGAGACCTCTCAAGACCCTCCAAGAACCTTAGATCAATGGTGGAGGTGTGTGGCTATGAGGTGTGGTGTTAAACGCCAAGAACAAACACCCTTTCTAAGCCTAGAATGTAGAGATTTAGAGAGATATATGTGCTTTTCCTTAGATAAATTTTTTTTCAACCTCTCTAAAAGAGAGGGAGGCCCTCTCTTATAGAGAAACAAGAGGGTTCAAGCATCTTGGAGAAGCTAGAGCAAAGGTTCAAGCTTCTTAGAGAAGCTAGAGCAAAAGGTTCAAGTTTCTTCAAGAAGCTAAAACAAGGGTTCAAAAGGTTCAAGCTTCCTCAAGAAGTAAAATGAAGGTTCAAAAGGTTCAAGCTTCCTCAAGAAGCTAAAATAAGGGTTCAAAAGGTTCAAGCTTCCTCAAGAAGCTAAAATGAAGGTTCAAAATGTTTAAGTTCTCCAAAAACCGTGCCAAACGGAGAAAGTTAAGCGGTCCCGAACCGAGGCGCACGACCGACGGCTCCGAAAACCAGAAACTGGTCTCCAAATGGGAACAGTGGTCTACGAGAGATGGTCTACGAGAAGCATGAAAAGTAGCCTATGGCCACTGAGAGATGGTCTACGAGACCTCTCCCTCCCTTCGGGAAGAGAAAACAAAACTTGGTTCGCAAACCGAGGCAAAGCACAAAAGAGTCCCGAAGTCCGGAGGCAAGGCTCTCAGCCGAGACTCTGTAACCTTAGAACGAGCACAACATGCGTCATCACCGAGCGCTCAATCGATGACGTCTGAGTCTTAAGGTCGGTCAAAAATGGGGTGTCTACAGTAACCAAGAAATACACAAGGCACAGACCTAGGTTGGAGTTTGTGAGAAGCATAAGGTTTGAGCCATGGATAACATCTGCAACCAAAGGTTTTGAGCAATGTATAGTCAGGAGCATGGTGGTACAACACTTCAAAAGAAGTGAGAAAATTGAGTTTAGCAGTAGGAAGTCTATTAATGAGAAAAACAGATGTGGCAAGATCATCAAACCAATAAGCAAGAGGCAATGAAGAGTGATGCATGGGAGCAATGGTGGTCTCTATGAGATGTCTATGTTTCCTCTCTCCTACTCCATTTTGAGCAGGTGTGTGAGGACTACTCAACTGAGGTTGTATGCCTGGACTCTTTAAGAAATCATGAAACTTGGTGCTAAGATATTCACCACCATTGTCACTTCTTAACACTTGTAATTGAGTAGAAAATTGAGTTTCAACAAACACTTTGAATTCCAAAAACTTAGGAAAAACTTCACTTTTATAATGAAAAGGAAACAACTATGTAAACTTGCTATAATCATCAATGAACATTACGTAATATTTGTATGAAGAAACAGATGAAGTGAATGGCCCCCATACATCAGAGTGAATAAGGGCCAAGGGCTTATTAACTGTAGAATTAGACAAGCTAAAAGGAAGTCTATGACTTTTGAAAACACAACAATGTGAGCACATTTTATTATCAACAACAGATGGAGCATTAACAGATGAAGAAGGTAACAAATGATGAGTAACAATATACTGAAGTTTCCTTGAAGAAGGATGGCCTAATCTACAATGCCAATGAGAAGAGTTAACAGTGGACTGAAAACAAGCTCGTGAAGAAGATGCAGATGCAGTAGATGGAGCAGCACTAGGAAGGTGATAGAGACCATGGGAATGGAAGCCTTTATATAGCACCTTCTTGGTACTCTTGTCCTGTATGATAAACATATCTTTATCAAAAGTAATAGTGCAATGGTTGTCATAAATAAGCTAACGAACATAAATTAAGTTGGAAGAAATAGAAGGTACATGAAACATATTGGAGAGATGAAAAGGAAAGAAGGGAGTATTAAGAAGACCTTGACCAGTGTGATGAATAGGTAAGGTAGTTCCATCACCAACAGTAACGTGGTCAAGTCCATGATATGGTTGATAAGAAGAAAGATTGTTCAAATCATTGGTGATATGACTGGTGGCTGTAGAATCTAAAAACCAGTTGGTATTGTTGGAAGAACTGTCACCAGGAGAACCAGTACCAGACTGATTAGTGTTAGCAACATAGGCTTGATGAGCTTGAGGTCTTGGAGATTGAACAGAGGTGTCCAATCTATACCAACACTCTAATGCTGAGTGATTTGGTTTTCCACAGATATGACAAATCACTTGAGAGGAATTAGATGCAGTAAAGTGAGTAGCAGAACTTGTGTGACCTTGGCCTTGATGATTAGAAGATTTGCCTCTACCTCGAAAATTAGAATTGCTAGAATTTTCTTTAAAGAACCTGCTGCCAGTTCTTCCTCCTTGACCTTTGTAAGAGCCACCTCTATAGCCACCTTGATGAGAAGTGCTTGAAACATGACAAGCAAAGGGAAGTTCTGAAGCATGAGCTTGTTTAGATGAGGATTCAACATGAATTGATTTAGAATTTAATAGAGAACATAACTCACCAATAAAAATGGTTTCAACTCTAATTCTGATTGCTGTTTTGAATGCATTATATTCATCAGGCAAACCATTAAGGATTAGCAAAACTAGATCCTCATCATCAACAGGTGATGCGGCTAACGCTAATTGATCAGCAATTGACTTGATCTGAGTCAAATAGTCATCCATTATGTGGTCTTTTTTTACAATATGACTTAGCTTATTCTTCAAATGGGAAATATGTGACCTTGACAAAGATGTAAAACATTTGAGAAGAACACTCCATACTTCATGACTTGTGGAACAATGAAATATAGAAGTGAAGATAGATGGTGAGAGAGTTGCAGTCAAGCAATTGAGGAGATGAGAATCAATTAGCATCCAATGTGTATACTTTGGATTCAGAATCTCATGATTGTGTTCATCAGTGATGGTGGATGATGGACATACCTATGTGCCATCAACAAAACTGAGAAGCTGTGTAGCTTTTAGAATATTCTGAACTTGATTCTTCTAGATAATGAAGTTTGTGGAATCAAGTTTGACATTCACAAAAGAATTCAAATTTGAAATGAGTAGTGCAAGATTTGGAGGTATGGAAGATGAAGTGGATGAAATAGCAGATGAGGACAGATTCAGAAATGGCATTAAAGACGCCATTGATGAACCTTCAAGAACCAGTGCTCATAAGAGTCTGTGGCTCTGATACTATAAAAGAAACTTTGCAGAGATCAAATCTTTTCTATTGATTCAATTGAATATCCAATTACAGAGAGTGACATATTTATAAACCACAATGGTTAACTCTGGTTCAAGTTAACTAAATCATAACAAACCAACTAACTCTAGTTTACTTTGTAACTGCCTAACTGTCTAACTGATGCAGTGGCTCAGCTATTGCATGCTGTTGAAGCTGTCGACTGACTATGGCAGTTGGAGCAGGACTGTAGCTTAGCCGGAGCTTGACTGTGGCTAAGATATCTATCATGGCTAGGCTCTTTATCAATTTAGACATTTATAAGTAAATTCGTTATTTAAAAATAATCATTACAAAAATTATTCCATTCGTCTCAAAATATTAATCCCTTATTTCATTTTTTATTGTCTCAAAATATTAGTTCCATTTCAAAAATCAAGTACTAAAACAACATGAATTTCCTATTTTGCCATTCTTTTAAATTCATTAATATTAATATATACAAAAAAAAAAATCATGATAATTGATATTTTCAAAAGAAAATTGCACTGTTTTAATTTTAAATCAAATGATAATTTTGAAAATTTAATATTTTTGAAATGTAATAATTATATTATTAAAAAAAGTTAAATTTGTCTAAAGAAACTAATATTTTGAAATGAATTAAATAATAAAAATAAATAATAATTAACCATGTATCGGGTGATATAAAATAATATATATCAGCACGTTTTAATTTACCTACACATGTTTTGTTCAGCAACAATATGAATCATGCAGTCTTAACGGGTTTGATTTAGTGGGTGAAAACAGTAATTAAGGGGTATATTATCTAAGAGATTGTAGGTTGAAAATTTACGGAAGGCATATATTTTAAATCTTCAGGTCATAAAAGATTTACTTGATTGTTAATTTTAAAATTTCAAAATTTAGTCAAGGAGTACATAAATTAACGTGGATATTTGATTTTAAAAAACACAATATGAATAATGCGTTTGATTTTTTTATTGGATTTTGCACTACAAATTGTCGGCCAGCTTCTTTTAATTAACGAGATTTCATCGTATTTCTGGGGTTTGATTTTTTTATTGGATTTTGCACTAAAAATTGTCGGTCAGCTTCTTTTAATTAATGAGATTTCATTTCATCGTGTTCCTGGGTGCTTGGTAACTTGGGTTAGTTGGTTTTTTTTTTTTTGTGATTAAAATAGTTAATAAAGATAAGACAAACTAAAATAGTCAATATGATATTACATTTAAATTATAATTATTTTATATTTTTTATTTATAATCATTAAATCAATTACAAAGAAAAAAAAATCAATTAAAATAAGCTCCACATATACCATAGGTTGCTTTAGAAATTGATTTTTTTAATGATTTTTTTTAATAAAAATATGTATAATATATATATATATAAAATTTTAATAGCGTTTTTACTTTTTTTTTTTATACTAAAATTGCATGTCAATCAAAATATGCCTATATAAGGAAGGCATACCATGAAGCCTTTCAAGCATCTGTTGGTCTCCTTTTCCTATAGTTGTTTTCTTTCTTTGTTTCCTCCCCCAGTTTTGACATTTCTTCATGGCATTTTCTCAACGCATTGACATGGAAATAATGAGTTCCACCCTCACAACCACCACTCTTGAAGCCCCATTGCCTGCATCTACGTTGAAGGGCAATGATATTATTCACAATATATCAAGAGATAGGTTGATGGATCTTATCCACTCCATTTCTGAAAACCAAGAAACTCCTCAACCCTTCTACTTGCTAGATTTGGGAACTGTTGAGAGACTCATGCATTCATGGAAGCATTCTCTCCCAACCACCAAGCCGTTTTACGCGGTTAAATGTAACCCTAATCCTGCATTGCTCGCAGCCCTTGCCTTACTAGGGGCAAACTTCGACTGTGCAAGTCAAGCCGAGATTGAGACAATCCTCGGTCTCGGAGTAAGCCCTGACCGTATTCTTTATGCCAACCCATGCAAGGCTGTGTCCCACATTAAGTATGCGGCGAGTGTTGGTGTCAACCTCACCACCTTTGACTCCAAGGGTGAAATCGAAAAAATTAAGCAGTGGCACCCCAAATGTGCCTTATTGCTTCGAATTAAAATCGCCAATGATCATACTTCGTGGCGTCCTTTAGGAACCAAATTTGGTGCCCTCTCAGACGAGATTTTACCTCTCCTCTCGGAGGCTCACTTGAGTGGGTTGAAAGTAGAAGGAGTCTCGTTTCACGTGGGAAGTAAAGCATCTGATTCTGCAATATATCGTGATGCAATTGCTGCTGCTAGGGATGTGTTTGAGGCAGCTTCTAAGCTTGGAATGCCGTCAATGCAAGTTCTGAACATTGGTGGTGGATTTAAGGATAATTCACTGTTCAGTGAGATTGGTAAGACAGTTAATGAAGCCATCAAAGACATGGAAGCGGCTGCAACTGCGCCTTTGTCGGTGATGGCTGAGCCGGGGCGATTCTTCGCTGAAACTGTGTTCACTCTTGTAACAAATGTGTTTGGGAAACGAGTGAGAGGGGATCGAAGAGAGTATTGGATAGAAAATGGAATTTATGGAGCTTTTAATCCAACGGCATATGATCGTTCATTCATGGCATTCAAGCCACTACTACTTTCTGATCATCGGTCAAAAGAGGACGAGGATTCATGTGGGATGCTATGGCCATCAACGATATTTGGACCAACCTGTGATGCAATGGATGTAGTGGCAACAGATTGTAAGCTGCCAGAACTCCAAGTTAATGATTTGGTTGTGTTCTACAACATGGGCGCTTATACAGCCTCTGCAGGAACTAAATTCAACGGCTTTGATACACTATCCACACCCACCCACCTTGCATATACAAGGCTCAGCTGAAAGAAGTTTTTGTGCACAACCACGTATGTTAGTCACAATGTTCCAATAACGTTGTTGGGAAGTATGAATAAATATATTAACTAGACACAATGTTTCCATATGCAAATTTTGTGTCTTAGTTGGTATATGTTTTTTTAATATGTTTGTCAGTGTTCCTGACAATATTGTCGTCTATTTTGTATTTTTCTTTTCTTTTTTTTGTAATCTTGTGCTCATTTATGCCTTGTTGTGCACAATTATTTAATGCTCTTAAATCTAATTTGGATGGTTGTCCAAATTAATAATTATTGTTTTAAATAATAAAGCATATCACTTTTGAGACTATCAAATAATATGTTGTGTTTTATTCACACACTCATTAATTAAAATAGAATTAATTTAGAATGTTTAGAACTTGAGCCATCCAATATGCCTCCCTGTACATGCTGTGTTCTAACACAACTGTTTTGAGGAAAAGCTTAGTTAACACTCTCCCTATAAACCTTCAACTGGTTTTGTTCAGAAACTTTTGCTTCTTGGTTTGACATATCTCTTAGGTATTGTTTTTAGGTTTTTAGGTTTTTTTTAGGGAAGTTAGTTTTTTCTTTTTCTTTTTTTTTTTCACTAAAAGAAAAATTAGTTACAAAAAAAAAAAAAAAACAAATTCAAACAAAATATCACATCAAACCTCATAATTATTTTACTTTTTTTCTCACAAACATCACATCTAACCACAAAAAAACCTAACTATCTTTCCAAACACAAAAAAAAAAAATTTCTCCAATAATATCTTATAACTAAAAAAACCTACGAAAAAAACTCACTACCCAAACACCCACAAAAATAACAAAATCACATTTTTACATAATTTCATTAATTTACAACCACCTATTATCATTGTACTAGTGTACAAACAAATATAATTTTTTTTTTAATTTTTTATTATCTCCAATCTAATATCATTATGCTAGTAATCCCTTTAGTCAATTTTACTCTAATCATGATCCTATTCCAACCTAATTTGCAAATAGACATGGTCTTGGATCAAGTAGGATTCACAGTTGTGATTATTTCAAATTGAGTTGGGTTTCTTTCTAATATTTGATTTGGAGGGTGTTGCATGGAGTTGTGGTGCTCACCACATGTCACATTTCAAAGATTCAAACGGTTTATCTACACAAAAAATTAGTTCTAGCTATAATAAGCATATTCAATTTATCGCATAATTTTTTTTTTTCTATTTTGAAAAACATACTGCTGTTCATTTATTCCACACAAATGCAATAAATTGAACATATTATCATTTTTAATCGACTTAAGTTTTTTTTTTTAATTTTTTTTTAATTTTTTTTTGCAAATAATATACACAAAAGACTTACAAAGTTAACGATTCAGATCATCAAAACACGTAATGATTCTTATGGGCCAAATAGCACCCACTTGTCCCTCCAATTGGACTGCAGGAAAAGGAAGTTCCATGGTAATCCCCACGAACCTTTTTTTTTTTTTGGGAAAATTATGCAAATAGTCCATGTAGTTTACACGATGTGTCAATTTGGTCATTGTAGTTTCAATTTGCTCAATTTTGTCCCTTAATTTAACGGAATCAGTCATTTTAGTCCAATAAATAACGGTTGTTAAGTTAATTTAACGGAAAGTCAAACAATGTGTCAATTTAGTCCCTGTATTTTTCACAATGTGTCAATTTAGTTCGTGTCAAAATTGAGAAAATTGAAACTACAGAGACCAAATTGTCACATCGTGTAAAGTACAGGGACTAAATTGACACATTTTTTGACCTTCCGTTAAATTAACTTAACAACCGTTATTTATTGGACTAAAATGACAAAATCCGTTAAATTAAGGGGTAAAATCAAGCAAATTGAAACTACATGGACCAAAAAAAACATCGTATAAATTACATGGACTATTTACATAATTTACCTTTTTTTTTTATCAACAAAATAAAACTTTATAGCAACCTCCGGTCTCTCCAATCGTCTTTCTCTTATCTATTTTGTATTCTACAAGAATTAAGTTTAATTTATTATTATAAATGTGGAACGAAACCTTAGCAATATAGTTTTATCTATAATATTAGAGTATGTTATCAATTACTATCTTTAATTTTGATCTAGTTTTCAATGTGATATTCTCAAACTTTTATAGTTTCGGTTTAAGCCCTCCAAACTTTTTTCCAGATTAAAGTGACACTTGAACTTTATATATATTTTTATTTAAATCCACCAACTTTAATAATTAAGTCAGTATAATCTGGTCTCTGTTAATTGATGTTAAAAAACCTATTATGTATTGCCTAATTTATTTAATTTTAAGATTTAAACTAAGAAAATAATAGTTTAAATGTAAGGAAAAATATATGGAGTGAAAACTACTAACAATTTTTGGTGAAATTATTTACCTTTTGAGATAGAATAATGTTTTACATTAAATGGGCAATAATTTCATATTTATTGATCATTTTCTTAGTGTAAAACCAAAATAATAGGTTAATTAGAAAGAAAATTATATAAAATTTATAGTTTTTTTCATATTTAATGAAAGATTTTAGTTTAAGGTTCTTAATATTAAGATTTTATAAGATAAAGGACATACAACATTTTCATAATAGTTGGGATCCGTCAACATTTTCACACCGAAATTTCGGCACATGGAAATTTTAATTTCAAAAAAAAAAAAAAAAATCATAAATTTTACAAAGAAATTTTAACTCGTCAGAAGAAACATATTGGGCCTCTATTATTACCAAAAATTGGAGAGAGATGTTTTACTAATTTTTCCATTTAATAATGTGATATTTGGACTACATTGACTTAATTATAAAGTTGAAGGACTAAAATAAAAAATAAATACATAAGTTTGAGATTTAGGCACTATTTGGCATTTCCTACAAAAGTGTACTTTTTTTTATCTTTTTATCTTTTTTGGGTCACATTACTTCTTTGTTTTTTTTTTTGCATATCTTTTCATAAAAAGTTAAAAAAATATACTTATTTAAATCATTGTATTGAAAATAAAATAAGTTTTCGGCTTAAATACAAAATTTTAAAGTTATGAGGATCATATTGAAAACTAGATCAAAGTGGTAGGGACTAAATTGATAAATAAACTTGGACAACTTAAATAGGAAAATTAGAAGTTAAAGGGTTATAATAAAAACTATTCAAAGTTGAGCTTCCTCTTTTTTTTTTCTTTTTTTTTTAATAGAATGATATCTATTCTTATATGATATTCAATTGGCTTATGTTTTTGCATGTCTATTGACGATTAGAGTATTTGGAAAATGTTTCTTAAAATGAATTTATTTACACACTTAAATTATTGAGTACCGTGTGACAATTTTTTATGTGGTGGTTTGAATCAATGACCTATTAAATTTTTTTTACATATTTTTGTGATTCGATTTGAATTAAAAATTTTACATATGGGACATGGTGACTTATCCTTTTAGAATAGTTGAAAATTTAGTGTAAGTTATGATTTCTCATTTGGTAGTAACATCAACAACATTATAAATCTACTATTACCAACTCAAAATTTGCTCAAAAAAAGAAATCAGTGATTTAAATTTATTTTACTTACGAACCCTACACTTTATTAATTTAATCTCTATCACAAATATATTTGGAATAAATTATGAATTTATAAGTGTGAGTGTTGATTTCTGACCACACAATCAAATAGGGAACTCAGCTGGAAAGCACTGGCGGAATAGATTAAGCCCGAACAACTTGTCACAGAAAGATAAGAATCCAGCGGTGGTTCGTCCACCCAGGGTACTCCGACGATCAAGTCAGTAATCAAATATCTCTCAAAGATAGCAAATTGTGCTTAACTCACAAGAAAATACTCACTGCTCACTGTATATCACACACATACCTGAGACCCGCGGTGGTGCCTTGCTTTTATAGCCAACACTGACCTGATCCTTGTAGAAGCGTCACTTCAGTGAACTCAGGCTCAATGCTTAACTCACAAGCTAAAAAATTCAAAAAGTTTTAGCTTTTTAAATTCTACTAAAAATTTCAAAAAAGAAAAAAAATTAATAAAAAATAATGGATTTTCTCTTGCCTTATTTTGGCTTTTTTTTTAGAATATTAAAAAAAAAAATTACTTTGTAGATTTATCTACACAAGACTGAAAATGTTTGAAAAAAAATAAAATTAACATACTTTTAAAACTCATAATTATTGATTCTAGTATTTTGTTTATTTTGTTTCAGTCTCTGTTTGGAAAGTGGGTTGGCTTTTTGACTTTTTAGCTTTTTTAGCTATTTTAGCCTGGGCTAAAAAGTTTGGTTTGGGAAGAGTTTTTTGATTTTTTTGACTTTTTTGACTTTTTTTGTGAGAGAAGAGTGTAATGATTATGGGTTGGATGTGATGTTTTGTTTGTTGTGGTTAAAATAACCTATTTTGTCTTTTGTGGCTAAAATAGTAAAAAAAAAGTCTTCTTTTGTTTATTATTTTTGGAGTGTTTTTAGAAGATAATTAAAAGTTAACAATTTAATTTTTTTTTGGCTTTTTCTTAAAAAAATATGTAAAAAATAAAAAAATAATGTGATTTAAAATAAATTAAAAATTAAATTTTTTTTTTACTACTACCTCACTTTTCAAAAGAACCCTGTTTTTTGGAACGTGATGCAGGTGGGAAACGAAAGAGAAAAAGGGCAGTTTGATGGCTGATGCTATGTCTCAATAATTGCAAGATATGAGATGAGATTTGAGAGGATTATTTAGGTTTCATTTGAGATTAAAAAATTATTTTAATCTCAATTCACCTCTAATTCTCTTTCTATAATTATTTTAATCTCAAGTCACCCCTAATCCACTTGCGAAACGACTACTAAATTATGGAAGATATTTGGATGGATTTTGTCGGTGTGTCAACATTGACAAACGTGTTGAAAGAAAGAAAGTATTGTACAGCGCAAAAGGCGCCGTTTGTCAGAGCAATTGGTAGCACAAGGAGTGGCATTGTGGTTAAGATTTGGTGTTTAAATTTTAAAGTCATGAGTTTAATTTCTTTTTTTTTAGTTAATTTTTTGGGCATTGTGGTTAAGATTTGGTGTTTAAATTTTAAAGTCATGAGTTTAATTTCTTTTTTTTTAGTTAATTTTTTGGGCGAAACACAGTTGGTTAGGAGGTTAGATTTTAAGTTGTCTAATCAGCACTTGGTGTGGATTCAATGTTCTCCCGTTGTGCGAGTCCTGATTTAAGCGGAGCTTGTTTTGGGAGGTCGAGACAAGTTCTCATGTTATAGTCTCTTCGCTCGGAACGGCTAACAGGACACTCTGGTGATCTCTGCAAG